TTGCCCATACCTGTGGGTCAGGCAGTTTATAGTTACCTGTGGGATTAGTAGGGCCAAAAACCTGGATGTTATCCGGACAAAAGGGATAAAGATATGACATAATATATGTATGATTAAAATTAAACTGCATGAAAGTCAAATAAGGTTAAACAGTTTGGGATGGAAGAAACCCTTCCAACTGTTTCTCAATTTTTTTATTGGCAGACTATTTCTCAAACATAGGTTGAGCATTCAACCACTAGTTAATAAACGTGAATACTTGGGTTTCCCTGATTCCCACCATGTGAAGGCAGGGTGGGGGGTGCAGGTTCCAGACTTCCAGCATTATATGTCTTGAAACACAATCCTTTTGCTTAGACCAAAAAAAAAATTGTGATAGCCAAGCACACTGTAGATCTGCATGTACTGAGTCTCTGATTTCCTTTTCAGCTTGTTTTCTTCTTTAACTTTTGCCTATGCCTGATATTATGATTATATGCTCTGACCTCAAACATCTTTCATTCTTTCATTAATTTTTTTTCAATCCACATGCTTGCAGGTCCTTGTTCAGCACACATCTAATCTATATGCTGCTAATGGTGCTGGAGTTGTCTTGGCAGAAAAAGGCCACTTTGATGTTTCCAAGGATATTTTTACTCAGGTTTAGCTGATCGTTGCTCTCGTCTGTGTTTTATGTAAATTTTGACTGAGAGGTTGTTATCCAGTTTTTATTTATTTTAGGTTCAAGAAGCTGCAAGTGGGAGTGTTTTTGTCCAAATGCCAGATGTGTGGATAAATTTAGCTCATGTTTATTTTGCCCAAGGGAATTTTGCATTGGCTGTGAAAATGGTAGGTGAATTTCTTTTCTGTGTTGTTTTTGCTTTGTTTAATGTCTTTCACATGCAGGCTGTGTATGACACTGATTATCTTGCAGTATCAAAATTGCTTGCGGAAGTTCTATTACAATACAGACTCTCAAATTCTTCTATACGTGGCTCGGACTCATTATGAAGCTGAACAGGGGCAAGAGTGTAAGAAAACTCTGTTGAGAGCTATCCACTTGGCACCATCAAATTACACACTACGATTTGATGCAGGAGTTGCAATGCAGAAGTTCTCAGCATCAACCCTACAAAAGGCAAAGAGGACAGCTGATGAGGTTGTTTTTTGTTGCCTGTGAAGTCTTGCTTGCTGTTGTGTTTCATTGACCTGTTGCTGTCAGTTATTTTTTGTTTCCACGACCATCTCTTTAGTCTGTGATGCTAATCCTTTTAGATAAATTGTTTAAACCATTCTGTTGTTTTGACATGTCTGTGGAGTGTGAAAGGTGTTCTGCATTGCTGTCTTTAAATACTATTTCACATGTGGAAGTCAGTTTTTTTTTTTTTTTTCACAAGGCAGCAAAAAGAAAAATGCTAGGACATTGTCGAGAATGATTCCCATTACCTTTGAATTATGTGAGAAAAGCATCCTTTACAAAACAGAGGCTAGACTGTCTAAATTGTAGAGGTTATATATTTGGACTTCATAGCTAATTATCATATACTTCACATCCTTAACTTGTTTCTTCATGATAATCAATTTGATGTTCACTTGTTTATACATCTTTGATCTCAGATTAATATTGGAAACTTAGTAAACTTTGCAGCTATATTATTGTTAAGTACATCCAGTTTGAAATGCCCTCTGTTGTCTTCCTAGTTTCTGTCTCATTCAGATTTTGTTTTGATGGTGTTATAGGTGCGCTCAACAGTTGCAGAGCTAGAGAATGCTGTCCGTGTATTCAGTCAATTGTCTGCTGCTTCCAACCTGCATCTTCATGGGTTTGATGAGAAGAAGATAAACACTCATGTTGAGTATTGTAAGCACTTACTTGAAGCTGCAAAAGTTCACCGTAAAGCAGCTGAGCATGAAGAGCAGCAGAACCGGCAGAAACAAGAAGCAGCTCGTCAATATGCATTGGCTGAGGAAGCTCGCCGTAAAGCTGAAGAGCAAAGAAAATTTCTGGTCTGCATTTTTTAATTTGCTTTATATTTTTATTTCTTTGGTTAACTTAAGATGGAGATTGTTATTATCAACTAAGATTTGCTAATTTAGCTATTCTTCTTTTTGTGGCAAAATAGTTGGAGAGAAGAAAACAAGAAGATGAGCAGAAAAGGCTCCAGAAGGAGGAGGAGCATTTCAGGCGCATAAAAGTAAGGGTGACTGACTTTTTGGCTGCTAGATTTCCATTTCTAATTCAATTAATATGTTCGAAATAATCATTACAAGGCAAATGATAAAGACGTTTGGTGGAAAGGAGTCGACTAACATTTTGAGGTTTTTCCTTTTCTTTTTTGTGTTTCGGATTCTGCCAGTAGATGAAAAAAAGGTGTTAACTTTGTTACAAAACTTCAGCTTAACAGTTTCATCTTATGACCCAAGTTTTATTGCATCTCGTTGGATTAAATGCCTTGTCTCTGTTTGCTTCTTTATAGACACTATTAGATGTACTCTTGGCCCTATAAAAATCTGGATTTTAAATTTGATATTTTCGTCCTTTGTTATCTAAGGAGCAATGGAGGAGTAGTGCTCCTTCTAAACGGAGGGAAAGATCTGAAATGGATGAGGAGGAGGGTGGGCATGGTGAGAAGAGAAGAAGAAAGGGTGGAAAGAAAAGAAGAAAGGACAAGAGCTCACGGTCACATTATGATAGGGAAGAGGAGGAAAATGACATGGCAGGTGACCATGAAGAATTAGAAGATGAAGATGCTGACACAAATTTCGGGGAGTCGATGAACCAACTGAAAGATCAGGATGGTGATGCAGGAGAAAATGCTCAGGTTGTTCTTGCTGCAGCCGGGCTGGAAGATTCAGATGCTGAGGATGAGGTAGTAATATCCTTTTAATGTCACTTCTTTTATTGAGTTGTTTTCTGTATCCAATTTATACATGATTTAGCAAACAATTTTAGTCACAAAATAGCTGTTCATAAATGCTAATACCAATTGACTTGCAGCCTACATAACCACATAAGTAGGAATATTTTTGAATTATTGGGTTTCTTGCTAATAATAATAATTTTAAATAGTCATCAGCATAAATTTCAAGGTGTCTTGTGATGTTACTTCCATTTCTTCTTTGTACAGCCTGCACCTTCTGCTGCAGCACGACGAAGGCAGGCATTGTCAGAATCTGATGACGACGAAGAACCCGTGAAGACAGACGCAGACTCGAGAGAGAATTCTGCCGAGATGCAGCTGAGTGATGGAGAAATCAGGGAGGATAACAACAAACCAAACAGAGATGTCGATGATGAAGAGGAATGACATCGAACCACAGGAAAGAGACAATAAGCTTTCTATCCTTTCGCAATCTTGTTTATAGCATAGTTAATCTATTTACCCTCTAATCTCCATGTTGTACATTTTTACAATAATCTTAACAATTGAATTGAACTTTTACAATTCATTCATGCTGTACATAAACAGAAGGCATTCATCTCATTCAACTTTCTTGATTAGGGCAAGACCTTAGGTGGGTTTGAACTTTGAAGATTGAACAGTTTTTTCCTTTTTTTTTTTTTTTATCCTTAAAAGAAGG